CCGCCCCCTCCACCCGCGGCAGCCAGCGGGCCACTCGTGCGCGAGCGCGCGACTCCCCACTCCCAGCCCCTCCTCCCCCGTCCGCCCCCGTACCCCCTGCGCATGCTCACTCCTCCCCTCCCCGCGACCCGCCGCCCTCCGACAGCCGGTCGGCCCCAAGGCCCTCCTACTCCCTCACCCCCCGCGCTCCAGCTCGCTAGGCTGACGGCGCCGAGCGTCGGCCCGCAGGGGGGCGGAAGAAAGCGCGGCCCTACGTCACTGGCGCCACCGCCGAGCCTTGCTGCTGATTGGTTGATCCAGGAACAGCCTCCACGCCCCACGCCCCCTATCCCCAGGAGCAAGCCCTGGGAGACCCCGTTCTGGGCCCGGCTGGGGTTGTTGAGTGCTTGGAGTTACCTGAGCTCGCGCTGGAGGGGCGAGCCTCACCCACCGCGGGGGCTGCTAATGTCGGTGACATGGATGCTATGATAGTTCAGATCTTTGCCTTGGAATGAAATGCTTTTGGTAAAGGTATTTTTCGTATAATTTTTTCGTAAAGATGAACATATATCAACATTTAGATTTATTAATTTGCACGTTTTCTCTGAGAATGAATCAAGTGACCTGAAGAGGTCACTTACTTGCAGAATATGTGTTAAAACCGCTAAAACGATGTAGACCCGCTTTATCATTCAAGCAGACTTTCTTCCTGAACTTGGGCCTCCCTTGGTTCCAGGATATGAAATCACCTATCAAATACAGGCTCGGCCTAATCGCCAGCACCATTGCTGGCTCTAGCTTTTTTTCCTTATAATGTTCTTTGTATTTACATTGTAAGTCTCCGTTATTTTTTCCTTAACTAGATCTCTCTCCCCAGGGTTTGCTGTCTTTACGTCCAATGTTAGAGAAGCGTCTAAAAACCAAATACAAGTCATACTCCTCCTTGAAGTTTGAAGCTTTTTAAAAGTTAAGTATTGCCCATAACATGGCTATACACTAGCCAGCCCCTTCCCTTCTGTCTTTTTTCAGTGCCAC